TCAGGCCAATTTTAATCTGGCCTTTTTTTTTTTTTTTTATCCCCCCCCCCCGCCCCACTGTGGTGCAGAATGAGCTGTCAAAATCATATAACTGAAAACAGGTTGCTGTGCTCGTGTCAGCATTTCTCTGATAGTCTCAGACGCACATGCACAGGGAGCCCCTAAGAGCATCTTTGAGGAGCTTCAGCGCACATGGAAATTTAGGACGAAACGCCAATTAAGCCATGTCCTGCTTAAGAATATGGCATATATACTGAAGGAAATAAACACAGTCATAAAGGAAGAGATTTTTTGGGTTGTTTTTAGATAAGAAACAAAGAATATCCTCCAAGCCTGCCCATTTGCCTCTTCACAGCCTGTATCACTTCAGGGACTGGAAGAAGTGTCATTGCCATCTTCTCAGTCACAAGGACAAACTCATGCACACCTGCCCCACGTGTCCTTCTCTCTTTTTTTCTGCTTTTTCAGGTTTACATTCTTCTCTCCCTTCCTGTCCCCTCTCTCCAAGCTACTGTGTGTATGGGGAGTAGGGGCTTCAATATTTCTACAGAAATTATTTCTACTGTTTTTTGTTAAGGCAGGAGAACTAGGCGCATGCGTATGTGTGTGCACACATGTGCGTGCAAGGGAGGGAAAGCACAAAATAATATAGCGTGTGTGTGAGATGGGGGGATTTAAAAAGCACAAAGCAACAGCTACTGATAAAGCAGAAGTTGTTAATCATTTGGACAAACCTACCTTTGGTTAAAGTTTACATAGCAAGCTGAGTGCTTATCATAAACATTAAAATCCACCTCTGATACAAGGTAACTTATATTTTAAGATGCAAGAGAAGAGATAACAAGATATTTCTTATGCAGGTGGCTTTTTCCATAAGTGATCTGAGAATTTCTATAGCATTTTGTTTCCTAGCTGGAAAGTCTTTAAAAGATCATTGGTATATTCTTAACAATAATAAAAAAGAATTCTGAAATGAGTTTAAGGTTTCTCCCATTGTGATGGAAGTTGATATGCAACATATTTAAAGTAAAATTCAAGTTCAGTAAGTAAATGAAGTGACACCAATTGCAGAGTGAAAGGCAAAAACTCTGTGAACCCACCCAGGCCCATTTAGCACACTGAACTATACAAGTTTCTGTATGACCCATACTGTACTGAACGTGATTCCCCACACTGACCATAAACAAAGCTTTTTAGAATGAATCTAAAAAGTGAAATGCAATAAAAGCAGATTTTGTAGGGAAGAGATTATTTCCTAGATTTTTTTAAATTTGTTAGCTTGATATTTTATATGCTAAAAAAATGTACTGTGGTGACACCTTGTGACCATTTTCCTCAATTACACAGAAAATTGCTTGTGGAAATACAAACAGATGTTTGTTACATTTGCAGAAAGATCTGACATTCTGACCTGAATTTCAATATTCCCAATGCTGGGGGGGGGGGGGAGAAATCAGCCTGGAAAATGTAGCCTTAAACATCCGTTTATTTATTTAGCTATTTATATTGTGCAAATATTTCCATGCATACAGTATAATTTTAAGCAGTATCTTAAGCAGTATCATTGATAGTTACAGATGGAGTAGCTATCTACCAGGATCAGGCTCCTAGCTAAAATTCTAAGTATTTTTTCAGTGCAATCGATCAAAGCCCAATATAAAACACCAAAATATTTTTCTTGAAAGGGCATCTGTCTAAGCCATGGGAAATGCAAAGGTCCCTAACCCCAACTAAGAAATAAATAAGAAGAGAGGACCGATCCAAGTGACAGATATAGTACTAGCAATAAATATCTCCCCAGAGCCAAAGCTTGGCAACATCAGGCCTCAAGACAAAGCTACAGCTTTGCTCATTCATTTGCTGACCTTCTCCTGACTTGGCACTAACCTGATGTGCTCCACACTGGGAGAAAGGTGAAATGTCAGCACAGATTGTGTTGGGGGTGAGAATCACACAGTGATTTTGCAAGCTGCAAACCTGTGGTGGTTTGGCCACGCATCCCTGCTGTCATGGAGCACCTCGTTCTCCCTTCTTCCCTGCTCTCCTCGCTCTGCCAGACACACAGCAGGGAGGAAGAGGCAGGTGACGACCAGGGCATGAAGTAGGAACCAGAGTGGCAGGAGGGCTGGCTCCAGTGGCATGGGGAGAATGGGAAGAACACGATCAAAACAGGAAGGCAGTGAAGGCAGGAGAAATTTTGTTGGTCTTTGAAACTCTTGGGTTGTTACATTGTTACACACAGAACATAAATTTAGACAGACAACTTCAAGACTTGTGACCCCTCACCTAGCAAAGTCCCATTGTTGACAAAACAGCGTTGTTGTTTTCCTGCACAACAGCTAGTCTAGGGAAGCTGTATTTGGTGTGTTTTGTAAAACAACACACAAACCTGGGTAATGAGTCTTGACTCAGAAAAACAATAAAAGCACAATAATAAATGGGTAATGGATGTTGTTCATTTCAGTTTAACTTACATATCCTGAGAATACAACCATGGTGGAAGAATATGGAAAATGTTAAATACAATGATAAAGATGAAGTCTAACTGACTTTTCATCTTTTTGACAACAATTTATTAGCATTTGCCAGAACAACTGCATGCAAAGCATCCATCATGAAGTCTTTGGTTTGAACATCGATTCAAAAACACCGCTTACATTTCATATCAGAACCGTGAGTTCCTTATCTCCTTATCAACAAAGCTGAATGCTGAGGATATACAGCTGTATCCTGAACTTCCACTAACCCTCCTTTGCAATTACAGATAGAGCGTGCCACATCTCCAGGGTACGGGCCTGGTTTACTTCGGGCTCTGTTAAGATGCCTCCTTCACAGAGTTGAGATGTTCTCCAGCACCTCCATCTAAATCCTCTCCATATCCAAGTTAAAGTCAAAAGTGACAGTTATTTCTATTCGATTAAAAGCTACAATTGACAAGAGACTACTCTAGAGGAAAGACTAATGAACTGTTTTGCATACTTTCTCCCCTCAAATTGTAAAGTATACTTTCTAGTGATGCCAGATAATTAGTTTTACTGGAAGGAAAAAAAATACACACACAAAAAGCAAATGCATTGTGTCTGAGTCTTACCACTGAGCAGTTCAATCCAATTTTGTACAGTTTCAGGAGGCTGGGTCTCTTTTATGTGTTTCAGAGCTTCATCAAGTAGAACATCCCCTGTAGGCGCATCTGACTTACAAATCACCTGAGGCAGAATAAAACGCAGTCAATAATTTGACTTAATCTACACACTGTAATCACTCAGCATTTAAGGACTAGAAAAATCTACCTGTTACCAGAACCAAGGAGAATTTAAAAATTCTCCTTTAAGGATGTGTAAGTTCTAAATATATCTGATTTTTTTTTTTAAAAAAAAAAGGTACCTTTCATCTTAAGCTACCTATAACCCCTTAATCAACTAAAATGTAGCACAAATGCATGCTTAACATGCTTAACTATTTTTAAAGGAAGATAATCCACTAACGTCCCTCATTTTCACCTTAAAGGTGAGTACAGTGCAGCATTAGATTGCTTTCTGATGGCTGTCATCTATTCTACAGCTTCAAAGCAATTTTTTCAAAGACTACACTTAAACAACTAGGTCACATGAAGCTGAGAAACCAATTAAAACCAAAAAAGCAGGAAGCTGGTTTTCTTCTTCCATAGATTTATGGATAGAAGTAGGTTCAAGAAAACAGCTTTGAGCGTTGCAGCTCTAAAGAACACACTGACCTGCAACACTACATTCCATTTGCTAACAGGTAAGACACATGTATTAGGCAAAATATTTATGTCATTTTATTTGTCTCAAAGTTTAAGTTTAAGTTTATTATTTAATAACTGCTAAAATGATTTAATTGAATTCTTTCTCTAAGAGAAAGCAGAAGGAAAAAAATGTTCTCAGTAATAAAATAAGAAAAAAGAATAACTGTTTATTTACCAATATAAGTAGTTATATAAACCATGTACAAATACTGCTTTCTTCTGGTTAGAACAGCACCAAACTAAAACTTACTGGTTTAACAAGCAGAAGTCCATATGTTTTAATAAGAACAAAATAATTCTTTCTTCTTTTGGAAAATTATTAGATATTCAAAGTTATTTGGGAAAATAATGATTAAATCTTGCAACTGAAGTACTCATGCATTAGCAATAGATAGGTTAAAAAAAAGATAACGGACAACTTAGATTCAGAATAATTCAATTCGCAAAGGAGAAGCAGCAGGTGAAAGATCTTGAATTAAATTCATCTTCCAAAGAGCTGAAAAGGTGTATGCCACCAGCCTGGAAAAATATTACATGTCCTGTTGGAATATGTTTCAGCTTTACATTTGTTCTATAATTCTAGAAATTCTTAATACTAACAATAGGGCAATAGAATATCTGCTTAAGGGGTCTGTAGACAACACTCAACCGAGAGGAGCAGGAGGCTACAACAGCTTGATAATGACACCATTACTCTAAACGGGAGTCAAGTCTGAAGTCTGTGAGAGGAAATTAAAAAGAAATGTAAAGTCGTATTGTTAGGATGCAAAAATAGAAGACAAATATAAAACAAGTAATAACAAGTTCACAGTTCAAAATGTCAGTAAAAAAAGATCTAGCAGTTACAGTAATTGACTATGAACTCAAAAGCCAAGTCCTTTGGTAGAGGGAGAAATTTCTCTGTAAATTGTATTAACAGTAGTATTGTATGAGATAGATAATTCTTTCTGAACAACAGATCAACGTTGAAAGATTACGTCCAACTCAGTAGATATAAAAGCAAATAAACTAAGATTTTAGTAAAACCATCAAGAATCAAACGTAATGACACAGTGAAAGATTAAAAATTACCTTTTTTTAGTTCTTAAAATAAAATCCGTAAGATTTTTACACCAAGATATCAACCACTACCTTAGGGTGCCTAGCTAGGAAAAAATATCAGCTTATTTGGGAAATATGGAAGATGTAGGATATATATTGTCAAGCACTTCACAGTGAGGCCACTGAATTGCATTCAGTGGAGAATTTTAAGATAAACATCTGCCAGGGAGAGATCAGAGAAACCTGATTTTTGGTTACTGCAATAAGATTAGCTAGTCTATTAAGATACAGTCCAGATCCACATCTCTGGGAGCTCAAGATCACTCCAATCATAGAACTCTGATATTTGGTTTTAAAAACACAATTACATTGTAATCCAGACAATCCAGTATATTTAAAACTCAATATACAAAAATTTACAATTATTTTTATATTTTCTTTTTATTTTGATTTATCTTTCCAATTTACAAACTTAGAACATGGCTGCACTCAAAACCTCTATTAACCATCTGAAAGAATATTAGTTATCTTCAAGTTTTATATCAAGATAAATGATATAAACTTTAATTATATATCTTTAATTATACAGGAGCTTACTTCAGGTTGGACTTTCAAGCTGCTAGATTCAGCTCTATCCATACCCTTCCTTTCAGGTTCTTTCTTAACCTGAAAATACACCAACAAATTTATCTTCCCTTCTTTTTAAAACTGACATTCTGGCAAACAAATGTATTTTCGTATCTTTGAATTGCCCCATATGATAAATTTCACAGTAAACCTTAGTCACTGTGGATATCTTCGCTCTGCTGCAGTTAGTAACCTCTTATGCATCATCCAGCTTAAAGAGATAAGATGTGAAATCATTTTATAGACCTTTTTTTATATGTATATATAAAAAAGGCTCACTTTGAAGAGATCTAACCTAGGCTTCAGAGTATTTTTGAAATAATAAGTTTAAAAAAATAAATTTAGAAAACATCTTTCTTTGCTTTTTTTTTTTTTGAAATGGGTTCTTCAAGATATTTTTTCTTATCACTGGAAAGGAAGTTTAAACAGATGGTTTGAAAATAATCCAGAATGACTGTATGACCCTAAACACGCACATATTCAGAGCAAAGAGCTGTAAGGAACAGAGACTCTTCCATTCAACTTATCCTTTGCCTCTAACTAACTTGGATCACACTTCCATGATATTCCTCTTCCCTGCCCTCTCCCCATACTCCCTTCCATGGGGAAGGGCAGCAGGGGAGACCCAGACACCCTTCAATGCTCACAGCTCTGCCTGTTCCTGAAGGAGGATTTACTGACTATCCCTGCTGAGTACTTCTCTCCAGAGTTTTCACACCAGAAGTCACAGTTTCCTTGCCCTTCTTGTTAAGTTAAGAGGGTTGAGGATCTCATGAACTGAATCATCACAGAGGACCAAGTATCCACAATGATGGATTTTTTTTTAATGGATGAGCTAAGCTAGCGAAAGCAGCTAAAAAGCTGATTGTGAGATGATAGCCCTCAGCCCTACTGAAAACAAACAAAAACAACAAAAAATTTACTTATTCTAATTTTTCAATGATCTATAATGTGCTAACTTGCTTGAAGGAGCTTCTACCCACCAAGTCCCAGGAACGGTTAGGAGGGGAGAGGAGGAGGCCTAGCTTGAGAGGCTGAAGCTGTAGAAAATAATACTGAAGTTCCCACCTCACTGAGCCTTGGATACAACTGGACAGCTCATTCCATTCACTGAGCACAGTATTTAACTCAAAGAGAAAGTTGGGGTCAAGGTAAACAAGGCTTGCAAATTCCCTTAAAAAGGGATGGAGGGGACTTGATAGTTGAGACATTGAAATCTAACAAGCAAAAAAAAAAAAAAAAAAAAAAAAACCAAGATGACTGAAGTTTAGCCTTAGACAGTGCAAGACTTCAAGTAATGTACAGAACAGTGGGAGTCATCCCCAAGAATGATTACTCAACTGAAGGGTTGGGAGAAGATGGGAGAAAGACACATTGTATATATCAGTATTAGGGATTTCATTTGCAGACAATTCTTTAAGCATAAATCAATCTTAATTTGGATTTCATATTAAGTCTTTTTCATAGAACTCTTCTGCCTGTAAAAAGAAAACTCATGATTGCCGTAACAGCAGAAAGGAAAGTATTTAATCCTGTGCAGCGTATAACTTCTTAAACAAACAAACACAAAAGCCACTTGTAATATTTTTTTTTTAATGCAAGACAAGCTTGGATTTTATTCTTTATTGGAGATAGGCACACGTTATTTTTCCATTTTATTAAAAAGCATAGTTAAAATTTCAGTTAGACCGATCTGACAGGGTTTGTGTAGAATGAAAATAATTGCTGAAGAACATTCCTGAATGCCTAAGGAGCCAAAAACTTTGGAGGAAAAATTTCTGTGCAAACTAATCAAAGCTAAATTACTCAAATGAAACTAGAAGAAGCAGGAGCTGTTTGTCTGAACAGAGGTTCAATCCTTCAGAGCGGGTTGGAGAATTTTCAAACTTTCCATTAAAAAAAAATAGCAAAAGGTAATATTAACAGGGAAGTCTGCCATAGAAATAAATTTATTTGTGGTGAACAGGCAATATTCAACCACGTTTTTGCAATAAATCTATTTCAGAAGTATCCACTAATGCCAATGATGTAAAGATTTGCCAGTGTGACCTTTAAATATTTTACACTAAGGAAAAATCCAGCTGCAGAAGTGTGGAAGAATTGTTTGAAAGCCAGAACTCAGAGAAAGACTAGGGCCCAACCGAAGTTTTGGCATTACAAAAGCTTTCTTGGGGTGCTACACAGTTGCCACTTCCAGGATGGTTGGTACGCACGGACTCTGCTCCTCCACGGTTCCCTGGGCAACACAATCTGCCCTCCTCGCAGCTGCAAAGGGGAGTAACGGAGGATGGAGC